ACATCTCATTTCAGATGGCAGTGAGTCATCATGAGGTTGCTGGGAATTGAACTCAGGACCTTTGGAAGAGCTGCCAGTGCTTTAACATTGAACCATCTCTCCAGCCCCAAGATTGAGCTAGTTTAACATTATACGCTGGATAGACAGGAAGTAGTTAAATAATATATACTGTCACAACATAGTCAAGCCCGGGGGCCCATCTGATTAATTAAGTACTAAGAAACAGTAAAGAGCAACTTGAAATGGCCCCGTGTGCTCGAGAGGTTTTCTGCACCTTGGAGGTGTGTTTCCTTAAGAGGATTGGAGAGTCTTCCTTGATTTATAAGCTCAGGTTCCCCTTCTGGCAAGAATCAGAGTGAGGATCATCTGCTCAGAATGTCAAGGAGGCTCCAACACCGTATCTCCTTAGAGCTGATTAAAGACAGGCTCAAACCTGTACCTCTATGTGACTACATTCAGTTTTTACTAGTTCTAAGAAGGCAAACTTAGAAAACCCAGAAAAGATTTAGACATAATTTAATGAGAATGATTATCCATTTTATTAAAGGACTCAAAAAAAAAACCCACAAGAAGTCAACTTTATCATCAATTAATTATCAATCTTATTTTAAATGTATTACCTCCCACAGCAATCCCATGCACAAGCCAGGATGATTTACAGTGGGATTTACAAGACCCCAAGGCTGTAAACTAGAATATCCTGCAATAAATCTCTTTTGACATTGCTAGTATCTAAACCAAACACTGTGTTCCTTGTTTACCTAAATTTGGGTGTTTACTCTCAGAATCTACTGCAGATTCTGTAATCAACCAAAAGAGGGAACTATTCCTGCAAGCTGTCCTCTGACCAACATGCACGTTCTGTGGTATGTTTGCACCCATATGTATACATGTACACATACATGGAAGTAATAAAAATGAAAAGTAAATAGAAGTGGCAAAATTATGTGTTTTTCTTAAGTATACTTATGTCTATTAACTGATAATATTGTATGGCTCAAGGGATGGCAAAATTTATTTTCCTCTATAACAGAAGACTAGCAGAGGTCAGATTTCAAAGTAACTTGCCTAGTGTGATAGAACAGATTTAAAAGTCATCAGTTATGAATATGAATCTGGTCCAGGAACTGGATAAAGATAACACCCATAGAAATACTAATTAAAGCCTAATCTAAGGTTTCCTAAGATGGCCGTTCCCCACAGGAAACACCACACCTATGAGAATACCTGGTTGAATGGGGATGTCCATTCATGCAAGACTCAAACTAGCATTTTAACGCACAAGCATTAGGACGCAAGGCTTTCTTGGTCTTTCACGTTTCTTCCCAAGTGTGTTTTAATTCAACTACCATACCCTACATTCTAAAGAATGTATGAAGAGTCTGTCACCAGCCTATGTTCAGACGTGTCAGATGCAATCATAAAACCAGGACATTATGTCATTGGACTCTTAAGAAGGTACATACATTCACACTTTCAGAGTATCTTTATAAAACTATGACTGACAAACATGAAAAGAAAGTTTGTTTAAAGAGTTTTATAAGTTTTAAAATGGCCATATTGACTCTGGGCTTTTCATAATACTAATAGTACTTAAACTCATATTTTCAATTTGTAGGTTTTAGGCAGGATGCAAAATAAAAGCAGGAACAGCTATATGTTTTTCTTCTTGAAAATTTAAAATTATTATTTTTAACACAGCAATGTAATCTTATTAAAAGTTTTCTCAATAATATGAAGCCAGAGTATATGTAAGGTGTTTTATTCCTAAATTTACAATAAGAAAATGAAGGTTTAAATATTTTCCCTGCTAGTAAATGAAATTAAGAGCTTTCTTATTTTCTTACTTATTTTGAGAATATATAATTTTCCAAAATTTCTTTTAAAAATTAAGATACTCTTATTGTGTGTGTACATGTGGGTGCATGTGTCTGTATGCAAGGCCGTTTGTGTGTGTTGTCACAGGGCGACTCGTGTGTGTACGTCTGTGTGTTTGTCTGTGTGCAAGGCCGTTCATGCACCTTTGGGGTGCGGTGCGTTTGGTGTCACAGGGCGACGCTGTGGAACTGATTCTTACTCTCCATCTACCCTTACAAGGACTCTGGGGATTGGATTCATAGTCAGGAGTGTGCAGTAAGTGCCAGTACCTGCTGACCTCTCTTGCTAGCACCCAAATATTCGTATAAACAATGAAGTATTACAATCAGAATTACTATTAATTAGAATTACTATTGTTAATGCATGGTCTCTCCAGAAGAGCAGGTATAGTAACATGTATTAGGTGAAAATTCATATGGAAGACAGATCTATATTACATAAAAATTTGCCATTCAAAATTGTCTGAAGGTTTAGTTTATTAATGAATTAAACTGTGATTATATAGCTGACATGTTCAAAAGAACAAATCCCATAATACTCAGATAACTTGGTCTTGGACGGAAATAAGACGCTTTACAAAAGTTAGCCCCACAGCCATGTAGCAATATCACCTTTCCTAAATAGGTTCATGAGAATATTCAGCTCAACTGTCGTACAACTCTAAAAGCCAAGGTCAAATAACACTTTCTAATTCCTTTTTCCGTGTGACCTTACCATACAAACCAAACAAGAACCCCTGGATTTCTTCTAGAGTTCATGCGGCTCTAACCTTGGAATATCTGTTGGTTGGGAAGGCTGGCTGAGTTCTGACATATACTGAAAGATATTCAAATCCAATTTTTCTTCTATAACCTTGTGTTTAAGATGGCTGGTGGTAGCATTCATAATCACAGGAAGAAGTTCCATTTGTCTAAAAATTACATAGCAATACTTTTTTTTCAAATATAAAGTGGAGTTTTCTGAAATGCACAAATCTTTCAGAATAATCATTTCGCTACTATCATCCCACCAACACCTGTCAATTTCAAAAGTTCACAGTAGGTTTAGAGGAACCATGATTCCAAGAAAAAGGTAATCCATAATGTGTATCATAAACAGGTTCTAGGAAAGGCTGCACAAAACTACACATAGAGCACACATAGTGATGATAAAACAGGGTTCATGGCTTGATGCTCTTTCATCACAAGAGTCTATTTAACTATGGTCCTATGGGATCCAATACCCTCTTCTGGTCTATACAGTTGCCTCTGAAATGTGTCGTATATTTGCTGTAACATGTTACTTTGTGCAGACAGCTTCACCCTAATGCTTTTGTAAAGCATGGAGTGTTTTTATCGGTTAGATTTTTAAGTGGTTATTGGGATTCTGCTTAAGAAATTACATCAGGTGTCTAGTCTTCAAAATATATGTACCAATACAAAACAGAAGTATGCCAAATGCAAAACATATCATGTGTCTAAAGGATGTAATTCAGAGAGTATTTGTACTATATCTCCCAATGGCTTGACATGAAGGCAGTCCCTTGATGATAAATTCAAGTCCCTGGTGTATATATTTTAATAAGTTGCTAAAACTTTATTAATAGTCCAAATTAAAGGAAAAGATGAATTTATTCACAGCTAGCAATGTAGTTAAAATATAATCCAGAGTAGAAATAAGCTTTATTAAGCAGTATAGATGTGAAATAAGTTTAGTAAGGATTATTTTATATGTAATTTCCCCAAGGGATTGTTTCTTATATTAAAAGCATGTTAAAGAGGTGATAGCATTTCTGTTGAACAGAGAGGTGTTTTCCTTCTGTTATTCATTTCTGATCTAGTAATTAGGAGTACCCACCTGTGACAAAATCTCTGCTACAGCTCTCCACAGAAGCCAAAGGGGGCACTGAATGCCTTGAAGTTGGAAACTACAGAAACTTGGATAGCAATACAGTACTGTTTTGATGAGCTTAAATTACTTTTTATTTATATCTATTTATATACATTTCTATTTAAACTGTCTTAATTATAGAGAAGAACCAAACATAAACAGGACAGGTAAGGTGGCTCAGTAGGAAAAGTGCTTGTTACAAGTATGAGGACCTAAGTTAGCACCCCCTGAAGCCACATAAAGCAGGTATGGTGGCATTCATCTGTATCTTCAGTGTACCTCTGGTGAATTGAGGGACAGGGACAAGGAGAAGCTTGTAAGCTTCAAGACCTGCTGGCCCCAAAGTACACAGTGGTGAGCGACAAGAGACCATAACTCAAACAACATGGAAGGCTCAAACTAAGATCTGAACTTGTCCTCTAACCTTATATACCTCCCTACCTATGTGCATGTGCAGAATGCACAAATACACACATGGACACACGTGTTAAAACAAGAACAACAACAACAAAAATCCAATAGGTATTTAATGCCATTCAAACCAACACACAAATGTTTGTATGGGTCCTAGCATAGTTCTACAATCCTTAGATGTCTAAAGCAATGCAATCAATACAAGAAGAATGAGGAGCTTCTGTGCATTTCAGCCACACTGTCTTCTCTGGTTTAAGTGCTCCATAAGTTCTCATTTAGCTTACTTAAAAGCAGTAATTATGGCCCTGTTTGCATCAAATTTATTTCTCAGAAAATCATTTCCTGAAATGGAGATTTTATTTGGTAGCTGTCCAGGGCAAGTGTAGAAAAACAAAAAATCAAAAAAACCAGAGAAGGGAGAGGAGAAAAGCAAGGAGGCAGGGAGGCGGTAAACATGGTTATCAAGAGACAGTATAAGGGCCAAGGCAGTGTCTAATTTTCTAAAGTGCTCGATGTGCGAGCATGGGCTCCTGAGTTGGATCTCCTCTCCAGAACCACAGGAAAGGCTGGGCATGCTGGAACACACCTGCAGGCCAAGCGACAGGAAGATGGAAACAAGAGGATCTCTGGAGTTTGCTCAGACAATCAGTAAGCTGCAGCTTACTACCTCAGATCATAAGTGTCAGCTCCTGATGAATGTCACCAGAGGGTGATCTGTGGAGCGTGCGCGCGCGCACACACACACACACACACACACACACACACACGAATGCACGCACGCATGCACGCACACACATACAGATTAAACAAAAGATGATGTAAGCTGTCAAAGCCCTTACCTTCACTTCCTTTCTCCACTTTTGCTGCAGTCTCCTTTTTCTGTTTTGCTGCTAAGAGTTCCCGCTTTAGCTGCCTTGCTTCTTTTCTGAGCTCTTCACTATAAAGAAAAGAAGATGTGTAAGTTTATAATATGCTGACAGAAAAACTGGGTTAGCATAAACAGAACTGTTTATTTTTAGATGCACTAAATTAAAAAAATAGTCAATAATATAATTAACTAATTTTCTGCCATGTACATACATCTGTGAATAGGTAAATGATATTTCCTAAGTCGTCATTTTCACAATAATAGTCTAAGAACTTATAAATAGTTTCCTTCTCAAATAACACTAACACTAACCCTTAACCATAACGCCTAACCATTAACCCTAATGCCAACCCTTAACCCTAACCCTACTAAACATTAGAAGTTAAGTGGCAGTTTGAATGAGATATTCCCTATAGTCTCAGGCATTTGGATGATTGTATTTATTGAGCAATGATTACATGGTAGTTTCATTTGATTTTTAGCTCTCTGGACATAGTTTGGTCATTTATGTTTTCTCAGTGCTTGGGAGGCTGAAGCAGAAGGAATATGGAAATTTAAAGTCTGTCTAAGCTATATAGTGAGTTCCAGGCCAGCCTGGGCTACAAAGTGAGACCCTGTTCTAATGTAACTCCCCAACTCCAATTTTTTTAACTCATCTAATGCCACAGTTGGCATGTAATTTTCTCTTCTGTGAAACCTTCTAGGTCAAAATATTCTGATAACTTACATGTTATATCATGTGTTACAAGGAAATGACTTAATTTATAAGTCATTAGCTAATTTAGAAGTCATTCTGCAACACTGTTTTAGGGTAGAAAATTCAAATTTACTTACTGACCACAATTATTAACTATTCATGTCATTGACCATAGTTTTGCTATGGTTTATTATTAATTCCCCAGGGGTCGTGGGGATGAATGTTTGTCCTCAGTCATGATAGAGGAAGGAAAGAACCTCAAAGAGGTAGGAAGTCCTTAGGCTAATTGGAGGGGGTTTTCCTTAGAAGGCTTTGTGTCACTCCAATTTATCTTTGGCTTCCTGTTTCAGGACATAATCTGTCTTTTAAACATACTTTCAACACTGATATTAACCAGGTAACACAGCTTAACACAGCTAAGGTAGGGGTCTTGCCAAAGCTGTTAGGATGTTTGGCCTTTTAGCATTGAAAACTATAAGCATATATATATATATATCCAGCTTATACATATATATAGGATATATGTATAAAAATATATATGTATATATACATACCCATCTATCTATCTATCTATCTATCTATCTATCTATCTATCTATCTATCTATCTATCCATCTGTAATGACTAATACAAACTCTTAGAGCCAATTGTGATTAGTTAGAGTCAGGTAAGTTATATCCTTAAAGACAAGTATTCACTCAATTTACAGAAAAGCCAGACTGGATCAAGGATGCTCACAGAGACTAGAAGCTCAAGCAGATACCACACCCTGACCTTACATTTAGATAGTTCTACAATGATCCAGTCTTGTGGGTATATGCAACCTGCAGCCTACAGCCCCATGTGACAAGGGCAGGTATGAATTCAGTCCAACACAAAATTGCAAAGCCACTAAAATCATTAGCTTTTTTTGCAATATATATTTGTAATGTAATTCTACACCTCTTGAGCATGAATTCTGCATGATCATATTGTGTCACCATGTCAAAAGGATGGACACCTCTGTGTATAAAACTTCTCCGTGGTCCTGAGTCCTCTTGCAGTACTTACTAACAAGCACTAGGTTTTATCAAAGTGCAAAGCCTTAAAGCATGCATGTTTCAGTTCTTTCACCCGTCTACAGAAACATCCCCATTCTGGGTCTACTTGTTTTCAAGATCATAAAGTTTGAAACCACCCTCTCTGATCCATGTTCACTACCTTTTAAATGTTTTTAGTCTTTCGTTTCTACTGAGCTTGCAGCCACCAAGCCACTTCCTTAGCTTTCTTCATGGTTCACCTATAGCAATCCCATTAGCATCGCATTAATTCTAGATACTGTACTGACAGTCAGTTTACTACTATCCTCATCAGAGCTCGTAATTGTCTTACCACCTGACCCTGTGGATATGACATAACTGCTTAGGATAAACTGAGTATGGTTCAGGCTCTCCCCTATCCATTCAGGGGCCTGTTCTAAGAGATAAACCTCTACAGAAAAGGGTAACCTTTGCCATGAGATGCCGCCTGGAAATCTGCCCTTGTAATGAATGCCCCTGATACTTCAGTATGCACTCAGGTTTGGGATCCAATGTTTAGCTTTCTATTATAGAAATTATCTTTCCACATTACAATCAAGTGCTCTTACTCACTAATCTTTTCACTGAGCAAACAAATTCAAATTTCTCTACAGTCTGCTGAAATCAAGATATTATTATCTTTACACATGGACTCCATCCGGAAAGAGCAGTTTATACACACAGTCTGCTTCACAATCTTGCAATCTACCCCTCTTACGGTCTCCTGAAACTGTTTCTGCACTAATCCAGTTCAGTGGCCAATGTTCAGATCACCTCTTTCCAGATGGTCTCGCTGCCATTTAAGATGTTAACTACTTCCTGTCTGAAATTCCATCCAAATCCAACTTTTCAGCATTTTGGAGTCAAGATTTTCCAATTCTCCTTGCTCCTTGTCTTGGTTACATTCTCTCTCTCTCTCTCTCTCTCTCTCTCTCTCTCTCTCTCTCTCTCTGTCTTATTTCTTATCTTCTTAACTTAAAATTGTTGGAATTTTTCTCATCTGTACCACTATGTAGTGACACTTCAATCTCATATCAACTATCATTACTATATAGTTATTTTCAAATCTAGTGTGGATACTTTCTTCGCCTTGAGTTTGGTCCTACCTTTCTAACTACCACACATCTCCAAATAGAGTATAAGAATGCTGCATGAAAGAAATGTAAGATATAACATATACCCACTTAAAAGATTATAAAAATTAGGAGAAGTTCTATCCAGAGAGGTGAGTGGGTGCTTGCCTGGGCTCTCTGTCCCAGAAGAGAGCACAGCCCCTCCCCCCTCAGCTTCTGCAGCAGGGTCTTAGGTGTCCCACAGGACCCCTCCCTGCCCCCACTGCTGCTGCCCTTTTGTCTCCTGGGTCCTGGAAACACCAGCTAGCCCTGCTGCAGTGCTGAGAAGTTCTATCCAGAGAGGTGAGTGGGTGCTTGCCTGGGCTCTCTGTCCCAGAAGACAGCACAGCCCCTCCCTCCTCAGCTTCTGCGGCAGGGTCTTCGGTGTTCCACGGGACCCCTCCCTGCCCCCACTGCTGCCGCCCTTTTGTCTCCTGGGTCCTGGAAATACCAGCTATCCCTGCTGCAGTGCTGAGGAGTTCTATCCAGAGAGTGCTGAGGAGTTCTATCAAGAGAGTGCTGAGGAGTTTCATCCAGAGAGGAGGAGATGGGCAGGCACCAATGCAAGAATTCCTCCAACAACATGAAAGGCAACATGACATCTCCAGAATCCAGGGATCATGAAACTAGAAGAATTGAACACCCTACTCGAGAAGAAATAGAAGAAATCGACTCTAAGCGGATCTTTATGAAAATAATAGAGGAACTTAAACAGGAGGTGAAAATCTGCCGAAAAGAAATGGAAGATAAGTATAATAAAAAGATTGAGGAAATGAGTAAAGAAATGGAAGAGAAATATACCAAAAGGTTTGAAGAAATGAGTAAATCCGTAAATGAAATTCTGGGAAACCAAGAAAAAACAATCAAACAGATAATGGAAACAGTTCATGATTTGAAAACTGAAATGGAGTCAATGAAGAAATCACAAGTCGAGGGTCGGCTGGCTATGGAAAATCTAGGTAAACGAACAGAGACTGCAGAAACAAGCATAACCAACCGAATACAAGAGATAGAAGAAAGAATCTCAGACTCTGAGGACACCATAGAGAAATTAAACGCTCTGACCAAAGAAAACAGCAAATCCAACAAATTCTCATCACAAAACATTCAGAAAATGTGGGACACAATAAAAAAACCAAATCTAAGAATAATAGGGGTAGAAGAAGGAGAAGAATTGCAGATCAAAGGTCCAGAAAATATATTCAACAACATTATAGAAGAAAACTTCCCCAACCTAAAGAACGATATCCCTATGAAGGTTCAAGAAGCATACAGAACACTGAATAGGCTGGATCAAAAAAAAAAAACCATCCCCTCGGCATATAATAATCAAAACACAAAACATACAGATTAAAGAGAGAATATTAAGAGCTGCAAAGGAAAAAGATCAAGTAACTTATAAAGGTAAACCTATCAGACTTACACCAGACTTCTCGATGGAAACCATGAAAGCCAGAAGGTCCTGGATAGAGGTAAGGCAGAAACTAAGAGACCATGGATGCAAGCCCAGACTACTTTACCCAGCCAAGCTATCATTCACTATCAACGGAGAAAACAAAATATTCCAGGATAAAAACAAATTTAAACAATACGTCGCTACAAATCCAGCCTTACAGAAAATATTAGAAGGCAAATCACAACCCAAGGAATCCAACATTCCTAACACTGCCTACAATAACTCAGGCATCTAGCGACCCTTCACAATCAGAACTCAAAGAAGGGAAAAACATACACTCCACTACACCCCCCCCCCCAAGGGGGGGGGACAGATCAAAAAAAAAGAGTCCATTAATATCACTTAATATCAATGGACTCAATTCACCTATAAAAAGGCACAGACTTAGAGATTGGATAAGAAAACAGGATCCAACATTCTGTTGTTTACAAGAAACACACCTCAACCACAAAGACAGACATCTACTCAGAGTAAAGGGCTGGGAAAAGGTTTTCCAAGCAAACGGACCTAAGAAACAAGCAGGTGTGGCCATTCTAATATCTAACAAAATTGACTTCAAACTAAAATCTATTAGAAGAGATAGAGATGGACATTTCATACTCATAACTGGAACAATTCATCAGGAGGAAGTCTCAATCCTGAATATCTATGCCCCTAATATAAAGGCACCCACTTATGTAAAAGAAACACTTCTAGAACTCAAGGCAGTCATCAAACCACACACACTAATAGTAGGAGACTTCAACA